CATCTCTTTATTACACACTTGAGTTAGGCTCAGAACTTGTCTGGTATCTTAACTGTGATTAATTATAACTTCCCTGTGACAAGACATTGCTAATTCACAGGACACATCAAAGAAAAGTCATGGCTTTCAAAATGAGTCTTCATATTGTGTAGCAGACATTTAACTTAGAAACCGAATTGCAAGGTTAGTCTCCTTGTATGCCATTAGAAGAAAGAGAGTTACTCCTGCTAGAGTCAGGCTGGGAATCGCCTGGGGGAGGTCTCTTCCTTTATGTTGAGCAGGAAGCTGAAGGCCGCCTAGCTTCCTAATGTAGGCACTTAAGTCAGGTGTCTGAAGCTAATCAACATCAATACTGTATCAGAAATGGGGCAACATCTGCTTTAAGGTGCTCTGCTCCTACATCTTCAAGCTTTGGGGAAAAAGTAATCTCCCTTGTGGTGCTGCCCTGCATAATAACAGTGAGAGTAGAAATGGCTGGTATACAGCCTGTGCTGTATCATCTGCTCTCCCCTCCAGTGAGTACAGCCCTCTGTCTCTCTCCAAGACATACCTGACCTTGACACTTTCAGAGGCTGCCAGGCATGGACTCAACCCTGCAGTGTTGTGATGGGGATCTGAACTGCAGGGCATAGGTCAGAATTAGACTGTTTCAAGAAAAAGAACAACATGTGGAGCTGCTATGAAGAAACCCTCGCTCTCTAAGTTGTAGCCTTCAGCTTGGCTGCAGTACCTATAACTGGAGGGAAAGGCTCCCTCCAGCCTGCCACAGAGGTAGAATACAGACCTTTACAAATCACTGTGTATAGCAGAAAGGACGTCAAATGCAGAGGTGAGAAAGAACAAGTGGAGATGAAAGAGGCAGAAAGAAACTGCAAGGAATATTTACAGTATGATACCAAAACAAGGGACAGGGTACTTTTCTTTCCATTTTTCCCATCCTTAGCCCTCAAAAGACAAAAGAAATTCAGCCATCATGCCTGGATAACTTTGGAGGGGAACTGAAACTGTTTCCTAGGTAAACACCTACTACCAGTCCTCAGAGGCACCCTTTTAACAATTTTTCCACTGAGAATGAGAAAGTAGCAGCCTTTGCTGATGCTGGCCCAGCACACCTGACGTGGCAGCAGAAATCAGAAACACAAGAAGGGAGCAGTCCTAGTCAAGGGTGGTTGACAGCAGTGCACAGCCCTTTCTCCACTTTTCTCCACTTTGCCACATTTTCCAGCACCACTGAGGTAGGAGGGATCCCTACCTGTCCCTGAGAGGCATGTATAGGTCTGGTGCTGCACACACCCACCTCTGTTTATGTTGTGGTCAGTACCACCCAGTGGGCATAGAGGTAGGGAGATGCAGATGTGCCTATTGGTCATCTGCTGGCCACCAGCATGGCACGAGGCATGTAGCTGACCCAGCACACAGCACCTGAGTTGGCCAATGGAAGCCAAAAGCGGAAAGGATGCAGGGGCAGTGCACATGTGCCCCTGGGGAGGTGCATCCTCTGGACCCTGCTCTCTGCCAGGGCTTTTGCTCTGTTCACAGGCAAACCCACTGCAGCAAGGTCCTTGTGCTGTGGTCTATCTCCTGCCCTGTCCCTTGTGTGCCTCGTGACACTTCATGAAGTCAGGAGAGTTGTGATCCCAAAGTCAAGGACTTGGGCACCTATGCTTTGGGGCAGAGCCAAAATGCAGGAGCACTGCATTCCTTTGACAGAGCAGTCACCTCAGGAAGGCAACACCACATGGACCTTGGCAGATGGTTTTGGGGGAAATTGGCATAAATGGAAAGAGAAGGCAGTGCGAAGACCTGTAAAGAGGGGAGTGGAGTGTTTTCAGGTGTATAGACACAGCTATTACAGAAACACAGTTCCAACAGTACTACAGAGCTGCGTCCATTACCAGCCTGGGTAAAGGGTGGAGTTGTATTTAAAGGTGATGGTGAATGAAGAAGTAAAATTTAGCTCCTGAAATGTGTTAGCACTTTTACAATCTGCATGTCTTCTCAGAGGGAGGGAGATTGTAGGCTAGTGTGTACTATTATATCCCACTTGTAATGAAATCTTCTCCAGCATAATTATGCTAAGATTGACACGTTCCCTAAATATGGGAATGCTTTAAAACATTCACCTTTCATTTCTGTTTCAGCAAAGGAAAAATGATATCACAATATAAAACACAAACCAAACAGAAGGGAAGATATTATTTCTGTATTGATAAAGGGCAAAGTATAATAATAGGAGAGAGACCAGTCTTGAGTCTAATGCACCAGACACAATTACTAGGATTGTCTCTCTTCTGCTTTCTCTTCCAGGCTCCAGGAGAAAGAAGAATCAATTAACTCTCTGCAGACTATGACCTTGAAGGATACTGCTTTAAGCAGAATATGCTGAGTAAGACAGAAAAGAGAGGAGAAGAAGAGAAAAGGATTTGGAAACTCATAGAAGGGCTTGGTTCAGAAACAATACATCAGCCACAGAATATGAGATATGTCAGTTCTTTTTTATTTCTGCACTGGAAAAAAAATTATCAGCACAAAAGGGGCTTTCTGGAAACAAGTTACCTCACTCTGCCTGAAATGGAAAAAAAGGACACTGAGAGGCAAAAGGAGGGACAATCCAATTTGCAGATGGTACTTTCCAAGTCATCTCTCTGAGAATTTTATAGCTGTCAAAGGCATTCATAAAATAAAAGTTATCACTGATGCAATCTGTCAACCTCTCCAACAAATCTTGCTCTACATAATACACAATGATGCGTTTGAAATGCAGCTGTTTCAAAAACCCCAAGACAGTGCTTTTAGAGCTCTCCAAAAAGTTCTTTTCATGCTTCTTTGAATTCTTAGGCAGATTTTCTGCAGTGTACTTTTCCAGTTATATTCTCTTATTTTTCTGTGCAGGGAATTGCAGCCCCTTGCCACAGTCAGAATTACGTGCCATGGTTAGAATAAATACTGTCTACACAACCTTCTCCCTCAGAGCAACCCAAACTTGACCTGCTGCCAGTTCTCCCTCTCCTTTCAGTCTGTATCTATCTGGAAGTTTATGATGCCTTAAAACACATTTTCCAAAGAACATTAAGGCAACAGTAAAAAAAACCAAAACAACTCAACCCAATCACCTAATTTCTGGGCAACCATTTATTTCCCAGGTGTGAGCAGATCTGAATGCAGATAATGGCATTTCATCAGTGACTGCTCCAAAGACTATCTTCCCTGTCAGTTACTTCAGAGATTAAGTTAGCATGTTACTGATAAGGGCTTGCCTTACATGGAAAGTCAAGAGGATGAGGGTTGTCCTGGCATAACCAGCTTTTGGTTGCTTCTCCCTTTTGAATGAAAGAGGTCATTTTGATTGGATGCTGGTCCCTGGTCACTTTATGAAGTAAAAAGTGTTGTCATATCTTTAATGTCACTTACGATATTTGCACTACAAAAAAAAGATGTTCTGCGTCAGCAGAAAAAAAAATAACATCACTTAGTGTAGTTCTATATAACTGCAAAGGTGGTTAAGTGTCCCAATAATTCAAATAATGTCTTACCTACCACAAAGTCCCCTGTCATTTAACTGTACAGCAATATTTCCTTGTTAGACTGTTTCCATCAGACAAATTACTTTGTATCTGAAGGCTAGTTGTCACTCATTATCTGAGCAAAAGCCAGCAGGGTTTCTACAGGAATATTAAAATTTTATTCCAGTGATTCTGGAATTGCTGTTCAGGACTGACTAACTCTCAGCTAAAAGGACCTCTACTGAAATCACTGTAGTTATGCTCATTTTCACTGGCAAGGTGGTTGGCCCAAAATGTTATATCTAATCCCATTGGCACATATCTATACCTAGTCCAGTCCTGGTGGGCTAGACTTAGTGATTGGTGACTTCTGGTGACTTCAGGGCTCCAGTGTGAGGTCCAGTATGTACAACCTGCAAGGTGGCCATCCTGCGGCATTACAGGAAAGTCATGAGGGAGAATAAATTGGATGGGGTCCTGCAAGGCAATTTGCAAGGAACACAGTTACTCATTCTGATCACTGCAGCTTTCCAAAGGTCCAAATCACTCAGCCCTGTGATCTCAGCACAATGGTGTGCTGCTTTCTCTTTTACTAGATTTGCACAATTTTTCACAGCTCAGGAATCACTGGCTTGATTTGCTCTGGGTTTGATAGGTTAAAATGACAAACGTCAAAGAAAACACACTTCAGCAATGCAGTATTTTGATCCTTTATGATTGCTACTGAGAAAATAATCCAGGTAGCCTGGATATTTTTTGCTTTAAGCATGAGCAAACACTAATTTGGAAACTGACCCCTCCTGCATTGGCAAGAATGTTTCCTGAAATGCCCCACAAAAGTCAATGAGGCAATATCGAGAAATAGATTCAACAAGAATCAGCTCCTAGAGGAGGGGAAAGATGCAGAGAAATGTATGCTATGCTTTTAAGAGAAAGGGAAAGATCACAAGATAACTGCTAAAATAATAATTCCCATTCTCTAACTGCTTCAAATACGCTGTTGCTCTTTCCTGCTCTTCTCCCTGAGTGTTTCAAGGGGATGACAGGGACGTTTGCCAGCAACAGACTTCAGGAAGGAGGTAGCAGAAGTGCTCTGCAGGCAAGGCAAAGAGAATGAACACACATGGAAGATCCAGCACAGGATGCAAATCAAATTTTTAAGAAAAATACGCTGATAGACCATGTGCAATAGCTATCAGATAAACCCTTGAAGTAGATCACATACTCCCCTACAAGTGGATGCAGAAAAAAGGGTGGTACTGACACTTTACAAAGGTCCCAAATGAAGCCCTTTTCACTGCCATGCACACCTCAGAACTAAGTTCAGAGGGCCCTAGGTGCTCTCCTCAGAAGGTAACCCATGTTATACTTATCTTAGCACATTTAAGCTTTGCATGCCAATCACATGTCCTCTTTGAGGACAGCTGCAGAACAGTTAAGTGCCTTTTTTTGTGTGTGTGTAAGCAAAAAACAAAGAAACACATAGCTTCTACTTACAAAGTTTTGGAGCAGTTTGGAGATTGGTTTCTGTTGCTTGCGCCTGAGATGCTGTGGTAGGCTCCAGGGCAGGTGGTGACAGCGAAGGTGCGGCAGAGGAAAACAACCCAACATCTAGGATGCGGTTATAGAGAGAAGGCTGGAAGAACGGTTTAGAGGGCACGAGCGAGCTGTCACTTTGCACTGTCACTTCAGCCTTGCTCTTGGGGCTAGGTACAGGGAAGGGTGAGGCATACACCTCCGAAGGCACCCAGGCAGACAGAGCTGTAGGATCCACAGCGCTCTTTGGGTCTTGTCCTATCCTCCCAGGGTCAAGGTGGGTAGGAGAGTCATACTCAAAAATCTTGTCCACAAAGACCCACTTGAGGCCAGCAATGCAGAGGCAAAGGCTGAGCAGGCAAGCCAGGATAGGGGCGATGCAGATCTTTTCAGAGTTGAGGCAGCCCTTCAGTCGCTCTGCCTCCAGGCACACACAGCAGGTCGCGGCAAGGCCTGCTATCCCCTGGAACCTCCTGTCCTCTCTTTGGGTCCCCGGCATGTTGTCCTCAGCCGGGAGCCCGTCAAGGGACGCGTCAGGGCTCAGCTGAGCTGAGGGGCTGGGGAAAGTGTCGGCAGCTACTTCAGACATGTTTAAGCATCAGCTCTCAAACAGCTCACCTCCAAAAGGCCTTAACTCTATCACAGTCCATTACTGTGAGACACAGACAAAAAGAGATGATAGTAATAGTCACAGCGCTTTGCAAAAATCATAGAGTGGGAGCCAACAAAAGGTCTGAGCTCAGCAACATCGTCCAAACTGGGAGAGAAGTAACGCACAGGAAAAATGAGACACCCCCCCGTCCCTCCCTGCCCTCTGTTGCTCCCTCTGCCCCTCTGAAGCAAGAGTAGCTTTGCAATTATGGGCTCCTGTTTGCTGGCCACTTTTATAATTCCTTAAATGCCTCTCAAGCAATTCCAGCTCTTCTGCAGGAGGGAAGAAACATCTCCCCAAAAGCAAGCACAACAAAACAAAACAGAGGGAAGGAGGGTGATGAGAGAAAGAAAACCACAAACACCGAACAAATTCACCGGATTAAGTGAACCAATAGCCCAGAGCGAAAGGCAAGACTCTCACCTTGAGCATCTGAGGCTGGTATCTGCTTAGACGAGGAAAACAATTGTCATGCGGTAGAAGGAGTAAAAGCAAAATCTGTAACAACAGCAGCAGCGGCAGAAGTGACAGTAGCAGCAGCATCCTGTCGTGTTACAGCGGCGGCTGAAAGAGGCTGAATCATTACAGAGCAGCAGGTGCTTGCTGTCTGAGCATCACTGCAAACAATATCATTACACAGAGGTTTGAAAGGAAGAGCGATGCCAAGACGGTGGTAACTCCCTTTCTCTCCCCTCCCTCTTTGTCCTTCTTGAGCGCTCATTCACTTTCCTCCTTCCCCCCCCTCCCCCCCCTTCGCTCCCCCCCACTCGCTCCTTCCTCCCCTACCCCACCCCCCGCCCTCTGCAGGGCTGGTCTGAGGGAAATCAGTACACCCAGCAACGCAGGACTGTCATTGACTTCCTATTTTATCCAATTAGGGGGAATAAAGGCTATCAAATCAAAGGGAGGGAGCGGGCAGGAGTTGCGCGCCCGCCCGCTCCCTCTCTCCAGCCGGTAAGCGGCCAAAGGCGGCGGCCATCGATGACACGGTCCTCCGGCGAGGACCGGGTGTCGGTGGGAGCTCTTCGGGCTGGACTGGGCTCGCTCAGTCTGACATTAGATCTCTCCCAGGGGGGAAGACCGCTCTCTAGCAGCAGTTTCTCTCTGCCTGACACCTAGAGACAGCTTTTCTTTCCAAGCCCCTGAATAAGTTTCATTCACTAGGAATAGTGCTGGGATGCATCTTAGGTCAAGCAGAGGAAAAAAAAAAAAACTAACAAAACCCAAAACCATTCCCACCTCTGATAAATTTTCATTTAAGTTATTACAAAGAGGTTTGCATGATTTTTTTTATATTCCATTTTTAACCTCCTTTCCAAAAACCCCCAAAACCAAAAAATCAAAGACTTCACACTAAAGTCACCTCCTGAACATACTTTTCAAGAGCTTGCATGCTGCTATCATATATCCTCATTCCCCCTTCGAATTTTGTTTTTAAATATATATTACTATTATTAACAAGGCTTCTACTTTTTTCTTAATTTTACCTGTCATTCCTCACCTCTACCAATAACTAACACTAATTCCCATTTCCACCAGTGCAGTGTAACACAGGGGTAAATCAACAGCCCAGTTAACATAATGAAAGTAAGATTAGAGTCAGCTCCATTCCCTGCCTCTTTTGCCTCCCACAGAAAAGTACTCCTGTGAAACAATACAGGCATATGTATAAAAGGAGAGGGGCTTTTAACACAATTTCCAGTTCCTTAGATTTTGTGAAAACATTTGCATTTAAGATTTGGCAGCATGAATCCCCCTTTCTCCTTAGTATAAATGGCTGCAGGACGCATAAGGAAGCAAAGAATCAAGTGCTACAAACTGCCTTGAATTCATTTTTGCTGCTACCTCAGTCAGGCATCCGAAAGGTAATTTCCTTTGTAGTTATATATTTTCAGTAGTGACAAAAAAGACATCTGTCTACCCATCTCCCATCTCTGCCTCCAACTCCCCCCTACCTCCCCGACTTCCATGGGAATATTAGTAACATTCACATAAAAAAGCTTTATCAAAATCTTAATGAATGCCATAGTGTTTTCACAGACTCTTATGTCAAGGACTAATTGATGGATGTCTGATCACAAAGCTTCCTGTGAGGCTGTAGTAGCCAACTGAAGTAACCACAATGCTACTACATTCAAGTGCCTGGAGAATTTACCTTAAAGCACAGCCAGTGATAACACTCTCTGGAAGAATGTAAAAATATAAATCATCATAAATCTCGTCTGCATTACCACTGAAATGTTTGGTCCTCAGGTTAATGATGTGATCAGTAAGCTCAGACAGAATGAACAGCTTGCATTACATATTTACATACATGGCTCTTCTTATTACAAAGCACATGTGCTCCTTAGCTGGTAATATTCTGCATGAGTGCAGCCTCTTTCAAGTATCTCAAAATCTATTTCAACAACACAGTCACATTTCAACCACATTTCAACAACACCACAGTAACAACACAGACACTGTAGAAAGGGTAACATCACAGAAGCATTGCCACGACAGCTGTTGTGGTCTGTGGGTACAAGTAAGCAAGGTTTCTAGGGAAAGGATGTATTTTTTACAACAGCGGTTGTTTTACTAGGTTAACTGACAAATCTGGGAAAACCAAACATGCTTTTGCACACACAAGTTGCTCCTCAGGTGTGAAGCTGAAGCATCACTCTTCAAAGCAGAGAGCAAGTTGAGAATCAGCTGGGAATATTCTCTTCATTGCACAGATGAGTTACTACAGCATCCAAATTCTTGGCACAAATTTTTAAAAATGTCTTGCCTTCTTTACCCATGTCTAATTTTTCAATCTTCCTATTTCCAGTACGACAATTTTTCCTGCTTTGCTGATGCTGCTCTGAGCTTATGTTTACTTCACTGTCCTGTCCACATCTTCACTGCACTGGCCTTTTCAGGCAAACTACCTGCATTCAGTCTTCTGTAATCTTCACTGCTCTCCAGCCTATCCACATTTAACTGCCCTCCTTGAAATTACGTTTCTGTTTTGCTCACATCTTTCTGTTGCTGAGGTGAGAAGAAATGCACATGGAGATGTTGCACCTTCCTTATAAGGGTTGTCATGAAGTTACAGTAATCATGCACAATGCTACATAGCTGGATGATGAGACAGATTATTACCGGTTCAGACCATGGGCTGCCATCTCTGTGTGCGTAGTGCCCCATGAAGCTACAGAGCCTCTTGTCCCAGAAGGCTGGTAGGGACACTTCCAGGGGCTTCTCTGCATGTGGGTGCATTGCCGCCATCCTGACCCTGCTGCCGGAGGGGCCATGAACGCACAGGGACTGGGAAAGGGCTCTGCCAAAGGGGTCTCAGCTGCACACC